ACTAACTAACTAAACTAACTAACTAACTAACTAACTAACTAACTACCTAACTAACTAACTAACTACCTAACTACTAACTAACTTAATAACTACTAACTAACTAACTACTAACTAACTAACTAACTAACTAACAATAACTAAACTAACTAACTACTAACTAACTAACTAACTAACTAACTAACTAACTAACTAACTAACTAACTAACTAACTAACTAACTAACTAACTAACTAACTAACTAACTAACTAACTAACTAACTAACTAACTAACTAACTAACTAACTAACTAACAAACTAACTAACTAACTAACTAACTAACTAACTAATTAACCAACTAACTAACTAACTAACTTAACTAACTAACTAACTAACTAACTAACTAACTAACTACCTAACTACTAACTAACTAACTAACTAACTAACTAACTAACTACTAACTAACTAACTACTAACTAACTAACTAACTAACTAACTACTAACTAACTAACTAACTAACTAACTAACTACTAACTAACTAACTAACTAACTAACTAACTAACTACTAACTAACTAACTAACTAACTAACTAACTAACTAACTACTAACTAACTAACTAACTAACTAACTAACTAACTAACTAACTAACTAACTACTAACTAACTAACTAACTAACTATCTAACTAACTAACTACCTAACTAACTAACTAATTAACTACGTTTAAAATACTATTCTATTCTTAAATACCTATTACATATATAATTACATACATATACAAAATTATTTCAAAATTGCAATTAATTTAAATAATTTCTTAAATGTGCATATACCGAGAGCAACCTCCTTAGCCTACATCTTTTCTCGTTATACTAAAATCTGGTTTTGTTTTCATTTACTTTATATTCAAACCATAAATCTATAAAGTTCAAAATTCAATAAACCAGTTTCAAAACCAGTTTAAGCTGCTTGGAAAAATCGCGTTTCGAATTGATTAAAAACCACATCTGACAATTGTAATATAAAGAGACATTGTAAAGTCACAAACCAACTATTGCAATTTCAACACAGACTGGCGACGATTATGTGTACATATGGGCTATACTTAGAATTACATAGATGTTTATATTAAAAAAAATCTGACCGTTATCATTTGCAAAAAAAAAAAAATTAGAAATTATTTTTAAAATATTGAAATATGTTTTGATTGGTTATAAGTAATCGTAAGAATGAAATTAAAAAATATTAAAACACAATCATCTTTAGACGAAGTCGAAGGCTCAATTTGTTTTATTATGTTTTTTTTTTCAGAAAAAATATTAAAACCGGTTTAAAGCGGTTTCTGAAATTGTTTCTTTCTTTATATTTTTCTTTATAAGTCCCCCCTTGTCTTATCGCTAAAATTAATTTATATTTTTCGGTTCGACATGATTTAATAGTTTATTATTTTTTTTATTCATTTATAAATACTAGAATGTTGACGTGATTTAGTAAAAAACTGCTTTGTTAAAAACTAGACTTAAATCATGACTTTTTAAAATTATGTTTTCAAAATAATTCAGACTCATCCATCACCCCCTCTATTGAACTAAAGTGAGGGCGATGTTGAAGGGAAATCCGGTAAAATCTGCTTTTGATGATTTTAAAAATTTTTGTTTGTTTATGAAATGGAATATTTTCACATAAAAATAATGTCCATTTTTATGAGAGTTCAGAAGAAGGTTAAGTTCTTTTTTAAAAAAAATATTTCTCTTTACATTTGTGTTTTTTTAGAGAGAAGTAGACCTTGTGGGAAAATATTGTAGTATTTGTTTTTTGTTAAATCTGATTTATACGATTATTTTTAAAAATTTTTGTAAAGGGATTTTTTCAGATGTGATTCCAAACAATATTTGACATCTGTTTAAGTTATTGAGGGATTTTACATATAAAATTATAATAATATAGTTAATACGTAATTAGGGGATTTTGCTTTCAACGATTTAGAGTTCTGTCTGGCATGATTTTATAGGTCATACGAATTACAATAAATCGATGTTAATACTTTTTGTGAGGCTATAAAAAAACTAACTTTTCTAAAGGATTAAGCTACGCTGTACCCGAATGCCCTTAGAAAATAACTCCATTGCAACATGTTTTCGAGATATCTTATTTTAAAGTCTGAAATTTGTATGCATTGTATTCAATTTATGGATTTATGTAGAACCAAACCTTTTTAAAAAAACATCGTTACCACTTCCTCCGGTAAGTGGATAGTGTTCTAGTCTGGTAGACCGGAGATCGTGGCTTTGATTTTCACCTGAGGCACTGTTAAAGGAGCGCACAACAGGACCGATTTGATGTACATAGATATATAGATTCTGCTTTCAAACTAATTATTTAACTAACTAGCTAACTAAGTAATTAATTAACTAGCTAACTAACTAACTGAAAAATAGCTGATATTTAAAAAGTTCAATTTTTTCCGAAATAAATTGTTTAATTTCCGAGCATTCTAAAGCTCTGTCATTAACTTTAAAGCAGACTTATCACATTAATCCGAATTAGGGAATTGAGTTCTAAAGAGTACTGGAAATAAAACAAATATAGTTCCCGGATTTTAAACACATTATTTTAAAAAGACGCATTAATTTTTATAAAAACAAACAAGCACTATGAAAAGTTTACTTCTTGGAAAATTAATTTGGAATATTTTCTGTTTAAAAACTATGCGTATAATTAATAAAGAATTTGTAAAAACTTTGTAAATTTCATTTAAATAAAATATAAACAAAAAAATTTGCAAATCATAATATTTGCGCAAAAACAAAATAAACTCAAAATTCGTTTTTTCATTAATGCAAAAAATTCATACTCACATTTTTGTAACCTCTATCAAAAAGGGATTTAAAAATATTTGTTTTGTTTTATGATTTTATTAATGTCTATTTAATTGTTTTATTAATTTCACTTCTTTTAAAGTTTATTTTCTTTTTTTCTTTTCTTGTTCAAATAACACTATCTCTCTAACACTTTAGTGTGAATAATAAAAATATTGTGATTAAATTTGTATGTATTTTTTTATTCCGTAAATGTTGGTGGAATATAATTTCATGTGTTAAACGCTAGACAATCGAAATTATTTTAAATACGAAACAGGCATGTGCTTACGAATTTATAGGCTAAAAAATAATAATCTTATTATAAAAAAAATCTCAGTATTCTGTTTGGATGAGTCTTTTTTTTTAAATATATTTTGAGATAATTTTAAAAGTACACATTAGCAAAATAGTCAATGGGAAGTAGAAAAATAACTCAAGATTCTAGAAAAATTTTTGGCGGATTTGAGAGATTTGAAAGTTGAATAAAATTGTTGTTAAATAAAATAAAATTTGAGAATAATTGTAAAAAAATGTTACATCAACAAATATTAAAGTATTATATTCTTAAATAGATTTTGAACATGCAAATAAAAATCATTTTTAAACACTGACCCGCCTAATAAAACTTTAAAAAAAACCCATGTTTTGCCCCATATTATGTTTTCACAACTTAACTTTTAAGAAATTATAGTGGATTTTAGATTTTTTATATAAAAGTCAGAACGCTTATTTACTCTAGTTTGGGTGTTTCATTTTAAAATCTATTTTTCGTACAAAAAAAAAAAAAAAATTACGAAAAATTGAGATGATCACAATTTTTAAGGACGAGAAAAGTACCCTTTTATAGAGTTTTGTATTCCATTAGGATCCTATAAATCTCATTTTATGTATCTAAGTTCCAAATTGCAGAGAAATCAAAAAGTACCAAGTGAAGAATGAAAAAGTGCCGGAAAGTCCCCTTTTATATGTTCTCACTTACTCCGGGTTCTACATGCTTAATTTCATGTTTCTAGATTCAGTATTACAGAAAAATCAAAAAATTTCTTTTGAAGATCTAAAAAAGTACCAAAAAGTCCCCTTTTATAGACTTTCCCTTAATCCGGACTATACATGCTTAGTTTCAAGTTTCTAGGTTCAATATTAAAAAAAAAACTTAAAAAGTACCAGTTAAAGAATGCAAAAGTATTAACAAAATAGCCCTAGGCAGCTGAGTTCCAAAAAACATACACATCATTAACATACTAAGTATGGTACTAAATCCTCTAATTTTCAAACATTTTAATAAAATTGACTCGATAAGTTTAAATAAAATTAAATTTCCCGTTTTTAAGTACTTTTGGTACTTTTTTCACCCTGAAGCAACAAAATTCAATAAATTAAGCTAAGAATGATTTTAAAGAATCGTATATTCGAAAATAATAAATTTTTAAATTAAATTATTTTTAAAATTAACTATTTTAAACATTTTCTTTGAAAACAAAGCAGAATTAACTAAATTTTATTCGTACATAACGCTTTTATTAATAAAACACAATTTGCTATAACATTTATAAATACCAGCGTTGCCAACTCTAATATCATAACAACTAGCTTCACAATATATTATCCACCCCAATTAGAAAACAAACAGCTTTTGTATATATCTTTATGTATTGTCAAATTCTGACGTGTTTGCTCAATTTGTTTTCATTCGTGAATTTCTTATCGAACGGGGTGTAAATTATTGCGGATAGAAAAAAAATACGATTAAACACAAAACGAATTTCCAACAAAAAAATATATATTAGCAAATTAACAAGTGTAAATGTTAATTTTACATAAATAATTACACAATATTGAAGGTTTACGATAAATATTTTAATTTGTATGCAAAATTATTAGTTCTAACTAAAAGAGAAAGTGAAAAAAATACAATTTTTGTGTAAAATTTTTTCTTTTTTTTTTATTAAAGAAGAAGAGTGAAAAAATAGCGGAAAAGAAAAAGAGAAAAAAAAAGAAGTGTGTCTCGCCTGAGTGGAAAATGTAATGGGAGTAGTTGTGTGAGTGCGTATTTGTGTGTATGTTTCTTAAAAACAAAAAGAAAAAAAGCAAATAAGAAAAAAGTAGCTAGATATTAGAAAAAAGTGAAGTTTTTATGCAAAAATTTAAATTATAGCTTAGAACAAAATGGGTACAACTGCAGAAACGATTGTTAATAAAACCGATAATACAACAAATAATACAAATGCAACAAAAACAATGACCCTATTTTGGAGACCTCTAAACCAGACACAAAACCTTACAATAATACAACAACAACATCAATAGCGGAAATAACAACTGCTGCTAGTCCAACAACAACAATTCCTGCAAATAACACCACCACCCACATTACTAAAACAGAAAATGAAACAGAGTGTACGGCGTCACAAGACATCAAATTATTACCCAAAGCATCACCACCTCCACAAGTTATTATTATACCAGCCAATAATGAAGCCTCCACAGCGGCCACAAATGCCGCCAAGAAAATACGTCGTGCATTTTCTATGCCACGCAATCCTTTTCGTTGGTCGCATAAACTAAAAACAACTGCTACTGCTGCTGATCACAAAACTAACGGAAGAGCAGCTCAAGATTCTGGAGGTGGTGAGATAAAAGGCGGAGGTTCTAGTGGTTTAACAGGATTTTCTTCCATTACTAAATCCTACACATTATCTTCATGTGTAGGTGGCAAAAGAGAAAGAGCTGAAAGTTTTGTATCCCTTAATAGTAATGATGACAATTATATCCCCACCACTAATACAAACAACAAGGACACACAGCAAACGCAAGCTGAGGATAAAGAAAAATCGAATACAAGCATTGCGAAAAGTTCAACAACAACAACAACTACTACAAATAAGAAGTTTAACACAAAATCGAATACAATTAATGGAGTTTCAAGTCTAACAAATTCCTCTACCCTGCCGACCGGTGCTTCATTATTCTCAACTTTACCGGCTGGTGCTAGCAATAGTGGCAACAATAATAATGCCAACAATAACAACAATAATCGAGTTTTTAGACGTTCATCATTTCGGAAATTTTTAAATCGCATTACCCAGCATATGACTGCTTCGGTAAGTGATTATTTTTAAATATTTGATTAAAAACTGAAATATTAGATTCTTTTGACCGACATAATTCGATATTTTTCGTACTAACTTATTTGTGATAAATTTTACCAAATATTAGCCGATGAGGCAAAAATTTTACGGAAATATATTCTTGTTGAATTTTATTCCGTTATTGTTGTTAATTATTAATTCCGATCTATTTTAGATCTTGTTTATCTAGTTCAGTTCTAGTTGTGTTCTAGTTCAGTTCTAGTTCAGTTCTAGTTCAGTTCTAGTTCAGTTCTAGTTCAATTCTAGTTCAGTTCTAGTTCAGTTCTAGTTCAGTTCTAGTTCAGTTCTAGTTCAGTATTCTAGTTCAGTTCTAGTTCATGTTCAGTTCTAGTTCAGTTCTAGTTCAGTTCTAGTTCAGTTCTAGTTCAGTTCTAGTTCAGTTCTAGTTCAGTTTCTAGTTCAGTTCTAGTTCAGTTCTAGTTCAGTTCTAGTTCAGTTCTAGTTCAGTTCTAGTTCAGTTCTAGTTCAGTTCTAGTTCAGTTCTAGTTCAGTTCTAGTTCAGTTCTAGTTCAGTTCTAGTTCAGTTCTAGTTCAGTATCTAGTTCAGTTCTAGTTCAGTTCTAGTTCACTTCTACTTCAGTTCTAGTTCAGTTCTAGTTTAGTTCTAGTTTAGTTCTAGTTCAGTTCTCGTTCAGTTCTAGTTCAATTCAAGTTGGGTAATAGTTCTGGTTCTTAATCAAATTTTATTCCTAAATTAATAAATCCCATAAGTTGTTAAGCTTTCTTATGCTTAAACATTATTATGTACACCTAGATGTTGTTGGCCGAAAAACTTTGAATCTTTTGTAAATGAAATCAAAAAAATATATAACAAAATTTAAGGATATATTGTTTAAATATTCATCTATGATTATGTGTATTTGTTAGCAATTGATCCAACATATCGTTAGCATAAAAGTAGAAAAGGCAATAAAAAGAACTACACCCCATTAGGGAAACAAACGACAAATGTTTTAAAAACAACATTCCATGAATACAGAAGTTAAGCATAACGATTTTCATTAATGATATTGATATGATTAATAAATATCAAGGAATATATTCTTTATTCTCTAAGTAAGTAGGTTTATAATTGAGCTAACGATATCTTTATATACAAAAAAATAAATAACAAAGAATTTCAAGCGTATACTGGTATGCACATGATGTGTTACTTTTTTTCATACACATTAACAAAATATAAATGAACAATTTCTTAGATGTTATTATTATATTTTAGGAGGCTTTGGGGTCAATACAAGCACATATACAACAAACAATAGCTTTCAAAATTTTTCTAATAATATAAAAGAAAATTGTTTATGAACATGCATCTTTGATAAGACCATGTACATGTATATATACTTAAAAGATGCTTATATATAACGACTTAATATTCTAATGAATCTTCGACTGAACAGTAGCTGAAAACAAGATTAAGTAAATTTTAAATTAAATGTGTTTTTTTTTAAACTTTTGGTAGAAAAACTTTTTAGGTTTCAATGTTCATAATTTATTTTTTTAATTTATGCAAACTGTAAAGATTATTATCATTTTAACAGCCTCCAATTAAATTCCTATTAAAATTTATTGTTTTGTTTTTTGTTTTACTTTTACTACTTGTACTTTATTGTTGTTTTCTTTTCTTTTTTGTTTGTTTTTTTTTTTCATTTACTGTCGCCGTTGTGTCTTTTCCTATAAGTTTAGTTTCTTTCTTTTTATTTCTGTACTCTATGAATTTCTTTGTTTAAATTTTATTTTTGTGCCTCTTTTTTATAACCATTAAGGAAAATGGTGAGGAGTTTGTGAGTTTCTCTTTGTAACACATTCGAAATATAGTTTATAGAGTCACATAAGTTAATATACTGGGAACAATGTTTTAAGATCATTTCATTGTGAACAATTGGACCCTCTGTCCAAAAACAAAAGTAAATTTTGATATGATTCTTAAGGAATATAGAAACCATATAAATAATTATTGGGCGAACGCTTAATCATCGTTCAAACCCAAGCACATAAGAGATAGCACCTTATCAAAATGGCTGGGGTAACTACAATATGACCGAAATATGTCTGAGAGAAATTACAAGAGAGATTGAAGCTAAAAAGTTTGGATTCAAAATATGTACATATGTATATGAAATATCGTTATTACAATATTTTTACTTTAGTGTAGGGTATATAAGAGTCGGTATAGCTCTTATTTACTTTATTACTTCTTTAATCATGTGTGTACACATCTGTTTGGGTCTTCTATTCAGTTTCATTATATTTTTGTGGTAATTTTCAAGTAGTTTGTCTTTCATTCGGGTTGACTTTGTCGGAATGAAAGTAACAAGAACAACAACAATAACAACTTTAACTACAAATCATAATAACAAAGCAACTATTCTTTATGATCTTCACTTTTGTAATATTTGAAACAAAATAACAAGCTAAATGTTAATGTTTTTTAAAGACTTTTTAAAAAAAGTTTCACTTTTTTACTATGAAGCAGTATTTTTATAATATATTTCTAACTACTATTAGAAAATGAGGCTGAAGTAAAGAGTTTTATGGTTTTAAATTTCATAAAGTAATTAATTATAAAAATGATTTAAGAGAAAAAATATCTTCTGGGCTTTTTAAATGATTATTTTTTCTTTTTTTAACCATTTTTTTTATTTATAATTATTGAACTTTTCCCAAATTAATCATTAGATTTAAATGAAGAAAATAATCTTTTAAAATATATTACGAGAATACACAAGTTTTGCATAAATTGTAATACAATTAAGCTAAATATCGAAAAATTTCGAAATTTTTCATTTGCGAAGGCATTTCTCGGTAAATACAACAACCTCCACTTGCCCAATTCGTACATTTTCTTTATGAGGTCAATCAAATAAAACAATTATGTTGTAATCTTTTAATAAAAATATATTTTCTTAAGTTAAATTCTTTAAATATTTTAAAATTACAATTATTAAAGTGGACTCATTCCACTTTTATTAAATATTTACTTTAGCTAAAGTCTTGAGACAGCAGACAACATACTTACACAGAAAAAAAAAACTGCCTAGATTCTTCAAAATTATAAATGGAAAATAAGTCATGTTGCAATTTTTTTTCTTGTACATTCATAATAATAAGCACAGATATACAACATAATTAAACTGCACAAACAGTTAAATAAATAGCTCAACCCAGCAAACATTATTAACATTAAAAAATATATATATATAATATGTATGAATTTGTATGTGGAAACATGAACAATTATAATAGAAAAAATAAAAAGTTTTTATTTTCAAATCCTTTCATTTCATATCAAATTTGCATTGTTTACTGGGTATTATATCTAAATATCTGCCAGTCTCTTCATCTTATAAATGTAAATTCCTCTATGTGTTACTGTTGATCTTTCATCTCTTTTGTTGTTGCTATTATTATTGTATTTATTGTGTGTCATTTGTTCCAGTCAAAAGAAGTTAAAGCCGGGAGCAAAGTATGACACACATCACGCGACAAATGTCTGTCTATCTCTTTATATTTTTTATATGTATACAAATGTGAGTACGTTTGTAAAATTTTTTCTTTGTCAACAATTTACAATAATAATAAATAAAAGAAAACAAAGAGAAAAATTAAAAGAACAAAAAACAAATGTAAATAACAACGTGTAACACCAGAAAATAACATAAACAATAACAAAAACAAAAACAGTAATAAGAACAACAGCAATAAGAAGTTAAAATAAAGCAACAAATTAAAGAAAGAGTTGCTGAACTTTACAATAATAATAATAATATTTTAGAAACTTTATTTATACCATTTTGTCTGCAGAACAAACTTTAGTTTTAAACAAATTTTGACATAAATAATAACTAAAAATTCAGACCAACTTTAGAAGACTTTATTGGTAATTTCTTCTTGTATCTGATGAATGGCTTAGATCATGTTAGGCTTTACAGTTTGAATCTAACTTCGGACTTTATAGGCTTTCAAAAAAAGTGTCAAATCATGGTTCCGGATTAGACTATAGACTAGACTATAGACTACATTATAGACTATATTATAGACTAGACTATAGACTAGACTATAGACTACACTATAGACTAGACTATAGACTAGACTATAGACTAGACTATAGACTAGACTATAGACTAGACTATAGACTAGACTATAGACTAGACTATAGACTAGACTATAGACTAGACTATAGACTAGACTATAGACTAGACTATAGACTAGACTATAGACTAGACTATAGACTAGACTATAGACTAGACTATAGACTAGACTATAGACTAGACTATAGACTAGACTATAGACTAGACTATAGACTAGACTATAGACTAGACTATAGACTAGACTATAGACTAGACTATAGACTAGACTATAGACTAGACTATAGACTAGACTATAGAATAGACTATAGACTAGACTATAGACTAGATTATAGACTAGACTATAGACTAGACTATAGACTAGACTATAGACTAGACTATAGACTAGACTATAGACTAGACTATAGACTAGACTATAGACTAGACTATAGACTAGACTATAGACTAGACTATCGACTAGACTATAGACTAGACTATAAACTAGACTATAGACTAGACTATAGACTAGACTATAGACTAGACTATAGACTAGACTATAGACTAGACTATAGACTAGACTATAGACTAGACTATAGACTAGACTATAGACTAGACTATAGACTAGACTATAGAATAGACTATAGACTAGACTATAGACTAGACTATAGACTAGACTATAGACTAGACTATAGACTAGACTATAGACTAGACTATAGACTAGACTATAGACTAGACTATAGACTATAGACTAGACATAGACTAGACTATAGACTATACTATAGACTAGACTATAGACTAGACTATAGACTAGACTATAGACTAGACTATAGACTAGACTATAGACTAGACTATAGACTAGACTATAGACTAGACTATAGACTAACT